TACAATTTTTAATTATTTTTTGAATTCCTGAGAAATTTTTATTATTTATGAAAATAGTTAAATGTTTGCGTACTATTTTTGGGAATTTGAAATTGATTTGAAAATAATAAATTGAACTTTAGGGAAGAATTTTGTTATTTTTAAAAATAATTGGGATTTTGACGAGAATTTTTTTTAAAGAAAGATAATTGAATATTATGAGAAGAATTCTATCACTCTTGAAGATAATTGAATTTCTGCAATTATTTGTAATTTTTCCAAAATTGGATTTTTTTAGTGTTTTCAACAAAAATGTGAATTACAAATTTTTGAGTTCTATTATTTTTAAAATTGCTAATTTTACCCTAAAAAGTTTGAATCGTTGCTAGTTAATTATATAAAATAGAATCGAAAGAAGTAAACAATTTGTATTATTTGGAAGAAGAAGTAAAATAATTCAATAAACAATTTTAATTAATTTAAGCATTTTTTTTTTAATTAAAGAATAAAATTGAAATTATGTTTTGCTCTTCTTCGTCTCGAAATATTACGATGTAATAATGTTCTCTAGGAACAAATTAATGCTTTTCACTTAACTAAAATTCATTGGATAGAAAATATGACAATTTTATGTTGGATCGTCTTCATTACGTATCATTTTTATCTCCCTTTTTTTAACGTGTTTCATTACTCCACGATGAAGTTTTATATGACACGTTTTTACACTTTATGTTATAAAGAATCGTGGGATTATCATTGTGATGAACTTTTAATAATCATTCGTAATTTATATAGTAAAATTTAGTAATTTATTTATCTTGAGGATAATGATAATAAAAAAAAAAAAATGAAAACGGAAAACTAATTATAATCCAAAGTATAAAATCACTTTTCTTTTGTCAAAATGATTACTTGCGAATCAATTATGGAAATTCATCTCATCTCCAGGTTGAACAAATTTTCCATGATTTTCCATGCCGGGAAACCTTACGCGTCTACTGCGAAAATCGATTACATACATTATTAAACCCTTTAAAACTCTCATCAGTTTAATAGATCTTGAAAATAAACAAATTTCCAATCAAGTCAAACAAAGTTTTTGTGTTTGAACATTGGGGTTGAAGGATTTTCTTTTAAATTGCGCTTTTTAGTGGATACGAACGACGAATGTATTTGTAATTTCCATGAAAATTATTTTTTTAATGTGACGATTTTTCATTTTTTGCGATAGTAATTCCTAGTAATTACTATCGATTGCAATTGACAATGATTTTTACTACTATTGCTAGTATTTATTTATCGAAACTACTATTTATTTTAATTTAATTATCATAATCATAATTATTATAATTAATTAAAAAAAAATTTACCCATTTGGATAAAATGAAAATTATCAATGTGTATTTTCTGGAAAAAAAATTTTTTTTCCAGAATTCTCGATCTTTTTTTTCGAGTGTGTGAATCTACATGTATGTATATAGAATATTGCTGATCAGTAGTAACTGCTTTCACGGTATAATCCTGGACGTTATATTCCCACAAATCCACCGCGTCTATTATCCGGGAAATTACATGTAACTCGTGACCTCTATTCAGACAAGAATTTCCTTCTAGCATAGACGTGTTTTCAAACAATATTCGAAAAAACATTTTTTACTTCTCAAACTATTTATTTTAACCCTTTTTTTAAAAATAAATTTAAGTTGGAATAATTTTGTTTTATTTTTTTTTATACAAATTTTTATACGAATTTTTATACTAATTTTTATACTAATTTTTATGTAAATTTTTTTACGAACTTTTATACTAATTTTTATATGAATTTTTCTTCGATTTTTTCCTACGAATCGTTTTATATGAATTTTTTTTATATAAATCGAATTTAAAATATATTTGATAGAAAATAATGTAATTTTGCTTAAAGGAAACATATAATTGAATTTAGTGGAAAATTTTTTTATTTAACCACTGCATATGCGATATTGAATTAAACTTGATTAAATCAAAGAAATTGAACTCTTGCAAATTTATATAGAAATTCAGAGAACACTTAACGTGTTTTATTGATTTCTCGCATATATGCAATTCCAAGAAATGAATAATTATATAGAGAATGGGGTCAATTATACACTCGTCAAGAATAAGGAACGAAACAAGATCAATTGATTAATTTTGTAAAAAAAAAATATGTGCAACAAAAAAATTGTAACTAAAGATTAAAAACTTCTTTTCTTGGTAAAGTAATATTTTCTGCATCGATAATTCATTACGTTTTGTAAACAATTTTAAATTTTGTTTTTGAAAAAAGTAATAGTAATTATTTTTTATTTATTAAGTTTTGTTAAAATTTAGTTTTCCACAAAACGTAAAAATAAATATTCCCACAGAAAACTTTTATTCCAAAAAATAAAAAACAAATTTTATGACTCATTTTTTTTCTGATGGGGTTGTAATGTGAACAATAGTATGAAAAATATTTATGGAAGTATTAGGGAAAAAATGAAATATGATTAAATGGACTTTAAAGAATGATCGAAACAATAAAGAAAAATACACGGACAAAAAAATGGTTTTATTTTCCATTTTTACTTTTTTTTTGTGAATTCTATTGAATTTCGTGAGAAAATAATAGAAAATAAGTCTAGCGTGGTCCAGATAGAGAGAAAATAAAAGCAAATAACTGTCACTATTGGAAGGAGGGTGATATTGTGTGCCCTCCATCGAGAAAAATTCTCTTTGCACTTCTAGCCTCAAGAAATTCCGAGGAAAAATAAAATAAAAAAAAAAAAGAGGAGAGGAGAGGAGAGAATCCCTATCTATATGAAGAATTTGAAAAGCAATATGTGACCTGTATCCTGTACTTTTATTATAAAATCCAATTTTCATATTCGTTTCTTAATAATCATCGTGGTGAGAAATCAATTGTAATATTTATGTTTATGTATTTCTTAAAGAAATTTTGGGTTAATTATTTTAATTTGTTGTTATTATTATCATATTTATTATTTTTTTATCTTTATTATTATTACTATTATTATTATTATTATTATTATTATTATTATTATTATTATTATTATTATTTTTTTTTTACATTCTCATAAAAAATGAAAACGTTTTGGATTTGTGCGATTTTTTTTATTATTAATATTATTTTTTTATCTTTACTATTCTTTTTATTATTCTCTAAATTTTAATTAGTGAAGAGCCGTCCACTAATTCAAATTAGTAAAAACTTCCACTTCTACTCAGTAAAATTTTTTGTATTTTATTTTGTAGTTTCAAAAATTTTTGAAAATTACATGATAACCAAAAATGTTTACAAAAGTTTTATTGAAAAAAAAAATAGTAGAAATTTTTACTAATTTAAAGTAGTTGAAGACTTTTCACTAATTTAGTTTTAGAAAGTATTATTAATTTATAATAATTTTTTAGCGTAATTATTAAAATTTTTTTATTTTAAGAAAATTTTTTCTTATTTAATAATTTCAGAAATGAATAAGTAATAAAAAAAATAAAATGATGAATAAAAATAATAATTGAATAATAATTATGACGGGAAAAATTAGTAAATATGTTAATGGACTTGTGTTTTGTATTCTAAAATGAATATTAATTTAAAAATCAATTCAAGCTATGCAAATTGAAGGTTTTAATTTAGATTAAAAGTTACTCAATGATTAAAATCAGTTTAATCGCTCATGATTGATTGGTTGCAAAAATTGATTAACCTTTTAACCGAGATTTATGAAATCGATCTTGTAAATCCAACTTTTTGTTTATTTTTTATTTTATCAAAAAGTTAGTTTATTAATGTTATAATAATAAACATTTGAATATACTTTTCTAGTATTTACTTTTTCCTTCTTTTTATTTGTAATTTTGTTTTATAATTTATAATAATATAATAATATTATTAAGTAGTAGAATTTATCACTCGGTAAAATTAATAATATTATTATTAATAAATAAAATTATTATAAAATATAAAATGTTAAAAAATATCAATAAAATAATAATAAATAATTATTGTTTAAATAATAAACATTTTTATTGACCATTTTAGTATTTACTTTTCTGTTCTTTTTATTCGTCATTTTATTTAATTTATAATAATATAAGTTCTTATTTTTTTGGTTCGTTTATTAATTAATTGAAAAAAATATTATGAACATAAAATGGTTTATTCTTGCTTGTAATGAAAAAGAAATTGAAGCAAAGAATATTAAGTTTGTGCGAATTAAAATTGTTAATTTGCAGAAAAGTATTTACACGTAATAAATTATTATGAATAATTAATTATCTTACTACTGAACTTCTGAAATGAATTTCGCTGTTTTCGTATTTAAAAGCGTACTTTTTAGCGAATTTTTTTACTCATAGAATACAATTACTACAAACAGAAATTAAAAACACAGAATGAAAGAGTCGAATTAATTTGGTTAATTAATAATTACTGGTTCTTTAAATACTTCTTTAAAAAATAATAAAAAATAATAAAAAATAATGAAAAATAATATATTTAATATAATTTTTCTTTTAAACTGTAAATTTTAATTTTTTTCCTTTAATTTTCCGAAAAATAATAATTTCAATAATTAGTATTTTTAAGTAAATTTTTGTCCATTTTATCAAAGTTTATTTATTTTATAATAAAAATTATTTTTTATTAAAAAAAGTTAATTAAATTATTATTAAATAGTCGATACAAGATTAATTACTGATTTAATTAAACTTATTTTGAGTAGGTAAAAATTATTTTTGCCAATTGTGGAAAAAAAGTGGTATTGAATTTAGAGGAAAAAAACAAATCTCACCGACAGGAACACGTCATATCGTTAATAACCTTCTTTTTTACACCCTCAAGATCTCGATCTTTTTCTTGTTGTTCGCGAAAAACTTTATGAAGTTCTTTCAAATAAAAAAGTTTTCCCATTAAAGTGAAAAGTTTCTTTTAAAAAAATACAAGACTCGTGTCTATATTTATGTGTGTGTGTGTATGTATATAAAAAAGGAAAACTCACTAGAATCAAGCAAGATCTCTCGATCATCCTTATTTTCCTCCTGTTTGGTTTCACAGAAAATTTAAAATAAAAAAATTTTCACTATTTTCACTTTTCTTTACAATTATAAACCTATAACCAAGCACACAATAAAAAGAACAATTATTTTCAACGAAAGAATAGAAGAAATAAACACAGATTTGCACAACTTATACTAAAAATTTTTTTTTAAACTTAAATGAAGAAAATTAAAAAATCACTGAAAAGATTTTTTTTCACAAGTCACTGAAAATTTTTTCCCGATAGAAAATTTTTTTTTTTTTTTAAGTGGAAACTTTTCTTTTTTTCATTGAAAGAAAATTAAAAAAGTGGAGAAAAATAATAAAAATTTGTAAATTATTTACTATGACACATAAAGAAAATATTGTTCGATTTTTATCGAACCTCGTGGTGGGTACTTTTTTCTTTTTGAAGTAATCAATGATAAACCAACACACGTTACCCCACACGAGGTTGTCGGGCTGAAATGCACCGCGCGAGTAAATCGGCTTTTACGAGAGGCGCGCGCTTTCTCCCAAGAATCATACACAGTGCCACCTCGTGGTGATTCGTGAAGAAATAAAAAACACAGTGTGGACCACACCACCTACAACCCACAAGAATCCCAACCCTCTGCAAAAAAAAAACCCCTTTTATCCCTCATCCCCCCCCCCCCGCCCCTGTTCTTGGAATGTGGCGGGGGTTGCAGTCACTCTCCACTTTGTATCACGAGCCCCCGGGATTAGAGTTAGGGGGATAGACTTCTGAATTTAGAGGCAAGATGAAGGAAGAAAGGAGAGAAGCTTTAAACTTCCTGAGAGAGGAGGGAGTAGGAGAGGATGTTGAGTTCAACTTTCATGGATGAGAACTACTTGGAAGGTCATAGTGATCAAGTGTATCAAATTCACTGTGAGGATATAAATATATTCGCAACTTTTTCCCGCTGAGTTAAAAAAATAGGGGAAGCTCTTTTTTTTTCTCCCCGTACAGTGATTTAATCTTATTAGGAGAGGTAAATTTCTTTTTTGTAATTGAGCTTTTTTTTTTGGCTTTTAAGTTTTTCTAGAAGAAAAGAGTATTTTTTTCCAAAAGACTATTTTTCTCTGTAAGAGGGAATTTTATTTGTTTAAACTTTTTTTATGGGGTTATTTTTGGATCTGTTGATTGAATTTTGTAAATTTGATGCTTTTGCTAACGGCAACTTTCAAGAAATGCTAATTATAACCAAACTTAGAATTTTCAAAAAAGTCCGCCATATTGGATCCACCATTTTGTATTTTGGAAATCTGATGTTGAATTTGCAAGTGGCGACCCTAGAAAACTCGGATTATAACCAGACTTTTGGAAAATCCGATGAGTTTTTAAAAGTCCGTCATATTGGACCCACCATTTTGTATTTTGAATATCTGATGCTAAATTAGCAATAACAGGGTTGCCATAGGTCAGGGAATTCAGGGAAAATTCAGGGAAAGCCTAAATTGTCAGGAAATTCAGAAAAAAGTCAGGGATTTTTCATTAAAACTATTGGAAAAAATTAAATGTTTAGAATTCATAAAAAAATTCTGAATTTTAGTATATTTTTTGAGTTTGCATCATAAACTACGAAATTACTACGAATTCTAATACAAAACCTTCAATTTTTTCTATTTTTGAGTTTGACAATAATTTCTTTTTTGAATAACATAATTCTTGAAGAACAATAATATAATTATTACTTATAAATTATTTAATGAAAAATTTTACTATTTCAAAATTAATTGAATTTTAAAAGAGTTGCATTTACAATTTTCATAAATAAATAAACTTCAAAAAATTTTTAATTTGAAATTTTAGAAAATTCCAATTTTCAATAATTTTAATTAGAAATTTTAAAGAAATTAGATTTTTGAAAAATTTTAATAACTCAAAATCTAAAATTAGTTACATTTTTAATATATATTTAATTAATTATTAAAAATAATGAATTTATAGAAAGATTTTAGTTAAAAATACTAAAAAAAAATTCAATTTTGGTTCTCCAAAAGAAGAAGTTACAATGTTACAAATGATTGCAAAAATTCAATTATTTTCAAAAATAATAAAATACTTTGCAAAAATTCAAAAATGTTTAAAGTTTTTTTTAAATTCTCGTAAAAACTAATTATTTTCAAAAAGTAATAAAATTCTTCTCTGAAATTCAATTACTTTCAAAAATTTGAATAAAATTCTTGACTAAATTTCAATTTATTTTCAAAAATTTTCCTCAATTCAATGATTTTCAATATCTAGTATTTTAATTTTTAATAAAATTTTCCAAAAGCATTTGATTATTTAAGAAACATTTTTGATAAAATTCTACGCATACATTTAATTATTTTTATAAATAATCATAATTTGACAGGAATTCAATTGTTTACAAATTTTTTTAAAATGTCTTCGCAATAATTTAATTATTATCATAATAATAAATTTTTTTACAGGGATTCAATATTATTTTCATAACTAATAAAACTCATCGTAGAATTTCAATTATTTTTAATTCAATTTTCATCAAATTTCTAGAAAAATGCAATTATTCTTAAAAATTTTATTAAACTCGTCTAAAGAATACAATTAATTAAACTTTGTTGATAACACATTCAGAATCCATTTTTAAAAAACATCCAATTATTTAATAAATTAGATACCTATTTGTATTTGTATTTAAATAATTGAATTCTTGAAGAACTTTTTAATGAAAATTTATTAATTATTATTATTTTAAAAAATTTTAATGAAATTGTTCGTAAAAATTCAACTATTTTCAAAAAATTTTAATATAATTCGTAGTAGAAATTTAATTAATTTGAAAAATTTTATTAAAATTCTTGGTAAAATTTTATTTATTTTCAAAAATTTTCTTCAATTTAATGATTTTCAATATCTACTATTTTCATAAAATTTTCCAAAAGAATTTATAATTATTAAAAAAAAAATTTTAAAATTCAAACATTTAATTATTTACATAAATAATAAAACTTAATGCAGAATTTCAATTATTTTTAATATACAATTTTAATCAAAGTCCTCTAAAAATGTAATTATTCTCAAAAATTTTATTTAAAATTTAAAATTCGTCAACAGAATTCAATTATTTAAAGAATTTTGATAAAATTCTTTATGAGAATTAAATTTTCAGAAACATTCAATTATTCAATAAATTATTTATTTTTATAATTAAATTATTGAATTCACGTTCAATTTTCTAATAAAAATTAATTTAAATATGAATTTCAGTTAAAATTTTAGATAATAATTGAAATTGATCTCGATAAATAAATAAATAAAAGTATTTTTGCGCGAATTTTTAGAAATAATTGAATTTTGAAAAGGTTACAAATTAAAATCTTTAAAAATCTAAATTTTTCATACTTTTAACTAATAATTCTGTAGAATTATATTTTTTTGAAAAGGTTTAATTGAATTTTTTAAAATTATTAAAAATTTTTATTTTCTAATATATAATTTCAATTGAAGAATTTTCAAATAATCGAATTTTCGTAAAATGGAATTGTAAAGAAATGAATAGGAAAATTTTCAGAATGAACTTTTTCGAAAATTATTAAAAATAATTGAATTTGCAGAAGAATTTTAGTTAAAAATTGGGGAAAATAATAATTAAATTGAAATGATGAATGTAGTGTAGAGACATCTCCAAAATAAGATTAAACATCTTAATTTTAAATCTACTCTTTTTCTTCCCTATAATTTCAGTTAATGACTTTTGCAATCAATAATAGGTGCAATCAATGATAATTACCATGAATTATTGTAGTTCGAGTTAATAGTAGATATAATCAATAATATCCATTGAATCATTTGTTCTTCTATATCTATAGTAGTACTGGAATTTATTTGACAGAAAAATTACTAAATTTGCCGATTATTCAAGTTATGTTCGTCCCTTTATAACCTTTGACCTGACCTACATTTTCAGTTTATCTTCGCCCCTTGACCTATGATCTTGAATTTTCAAGTCCCTATACCTGAATATTTTTCTTATATTTTAAATTCACCCCTTCACGTTTGACCAATACTAAATTTTTTTTGTATATTTTGCTGACCACTATTTTGACGTTTTTGACCCTTGATCTATATTTTTCACCTTTAAAAGACAATTTTAAATCATTTTTCCATTTTCTTGTTATTTATAAAATTAAAATAACTTTGAAATATTAAAAGTTGGAAATTTTTTATGGAATTAAGATTAAAATTTTGATTTTAATTAAATTATTTTTGACGTCTAAATTTTAAAGTTCTATTATTGACCTCTTATTCTCTTAATGAAATAATCTTATTATCTCATTTAGCTTATTCTCTCTTGACGTAAAATTTGAACATTATGATTGTGATTAATAATTTAATTTTTTTTTTATTTTGGTCAGTCAATTCACTTTGACCTGAATTTGCATATTATCAGGTGACTATTGAGCAGAATGGTTTGAAATTATATAAGCTTTTTCATCTAACTTTTGGACAGCAATAAAATAACAAGTCTTGCTAACTGGAAACGCAATTATAAAAGAGAAAAATAAAATATTAAAGGGTTGAATTCCTTTTTCTATCGCAGCAAAATTCCATTCATTTCAAATGAAATTCCTTTAAAGCAAAGTGGCTTTCTAGAATTCCATTTTTGCTTTGCGGAAAATAACAGAAAATTTAATAGCTATTTCATGTCTTTTTTTATTTCTTTGGCATCAAAGTAGGTATAAATATTAGTGAGTGTAGGTTGGGAATTATTTTTCTAATATTGTGCTAATATGGAATTGATTGGATTTTGTCTAATAATTATATTTAACGAATTTTGGGAAATTAATATTGATTCAAAAGTTTGGAAAAGTATTTTTATTATTTTATTATTGCATTTATTTTGTTTAATTTATTTCTTTTATTTCTTTTATTTATTTAATTCTGTGAGATATGCGAGTGCTAATATGGAATTGATCGAATTTTTTCTATATTTATAATTAAATAAAATAATAGTATTAAATTTTATTTTGTTTATTTTTTAATTTTTATTGTTTTTATTAAATCCTTTTTACTACTGATTTTGAATTTAAAACTTTTCGTCTGAAAAAATAACTGAAAATATTTTGTCTGACTAAAACTTGTTTTTACTACTTAGAATAAAGTTACAAGCATTAAATCTCATATCTGACAGCAACATTTTTGAATCGTTTTTTGTCTCAATTTGATATCTGCAGAAAAACTGTATAATGAAAAAAAGAATTACGTTCAACAGTAGAAAATTAAAACTCAAATAATTTTTGTATTAAGTAATTATATGAAAAAAAGAGGGGAATAAAAAATAATGTGCCTACATGAAAAGTCATTAATTACGGAAAATAAAAGAAGGGTGACTTTGAAATGTGAATGTCATGCCTTGGATTTAATATCGTACAAGGGAGAAAATTCTGGATAGCATATATAAAACGTTAGCTGGGAAAAAAGAAACCCTTAAAAAGCA